CCAATTAGGCAAAAACACAAACTAACAAATAAAAAAGAGCATAACTTCTTAACTCCTACAGAAGCGAACACTCTACATTTAGGCATCAACAAGTCTAATAATAAGTAATTCTCAAATTCACATCAATAACAAGCTAAACATAGCAAGAAACTAGAGAAATACCAAACAACTTAACAATAAAGAAAACACTTGTTACTTGCTTTATGGGCGAGCTCTTTTGTTGCTGCTACAGGAAGGACATTTATACTGCTTAATGTGTTCAGCTCTTGCAGGAGTGATCTTAACACACTTCCCATGAAACCACCTCTCACATATATCACAACAGATCCAAAACTCATCTGAAGCATAGTTTTCTCCACATGCTCCACACAAAGTATCTCCATGTTCATCTTCATCTTCATCTTCCAAATCATCTTCTTCATCTTTCCCTTGCATTTTCGCGTATTTCATCTGGGATTCAGATCCTCTCTGGAAAAAAAAAAAAAAACAATTCAAAAAGATTAATTGATATTGTTTAGACTTTTGTTTTACTTAATTACTTACCCCTTTTGTGTTTGATTTGGATTTATTGCTACTGTGATTGGAAATTGAGGATTTTTCAGTTGTCTGTTTCTTGGCGTATACAGCCACCACCTCAAACACTGTTGGGAGATCGTTTATCAGATTGAAGAGACGTTTCCTGCATTAAAATTTGAATCTTTTTTAACACCAAAAAGAATGTTTTTTTTTTCTAACTTGTATTTATTATTTTTTTTACCAACACCAAAAATGGTGTAAGAAGTAAGAAATGATAGACTCTAACATATACAGAAACTGATGGGATATATGAGAATATGTCTAGCTGATGTGGGACACTGACAGTGTAGACAAAGTCTCATATGTCCCATCAGTTTCTTTTTCTGATTTATATGTCAGTGTCCCACATCACATCAGCTAGTTAAGAAATAAAATGACATACCTGTCTGACTTGTCAAAACCAAATCTAGCACCAAAATAATACGCGACAGAAAGTAGCCATGCGTCACTATGGACAGCAACAAGAGACAACCAATCATTTTCTGGCATTCCATCACGTGCAAAATTGATACCTAATGCAGGTTCAGGGAGCTCTGGTGGAACCTCTTCTGCTGGTAGGTTAACCTCCCATTGTTCACTAGGGAATCCATATAGACAAAGGTTTTCCTTTTCTGAAACATAAATGAATATAAATTAGTTTAAAAGACAAATAAACATACAAAGAATCCATGTATATATAACTTATTATATTAAACTGACATAAAGAAAACCAAGAAGCACCATTTTTGTGCTAAGTGTGATGTCAAAAAGTGTCTTTGTGTGAAAGCTGTAGATTTATAAAAAAGTTGAAGATTCAAACAAGAGAAAAGACCATAATGGCTGCCATCTAAACAGTTCAGTTGTTCAGGGATCAGTCGTATCAAAAGCACATAATTGTACAAACACCTTTACAAAACAGTATAGTAAAGTTAAAACACTTCAAAGGAATTAAGCATGTTGTCTACAAGAAAACACAATAGAAATTCAAGAAAAAACAACCATTCTTTTCTTTTTTACAAATGCTATGCAAAAGCCCAGAAATCATGATTTGATTGTCACTACCAACATTTTGATGGATGGTATTCCCCCACCTAAATCTCTCCTAACTTATAACATAGAAAGATTCTTTACCTATGTGCAAAATCCATGACCAAAATCAAACCAAACCATTTGATAACACATGCAAAACTGAACATAAATGTAGCTTTTGATTTTGTACTCAGGTAGTAGACACAGATATACAAAAAGTAAGAAACAAACAAAAATATAATCACCGATCATGATTTGAAATACCAAAATACGCATTGAATTCTCCAATTTAGAAAGGTATTTTCTACAAAATTATACGTAAACGAATAGAAAGGGAGAGAAACAGCGCAAAACAGAAACCCTAATACAAACCTGGATCGCACTGCCGATAAAATCGCTCAACATCTGCACAACAAATGAAAACCGTTAGAATCCGAAGACATCGTACAACGAAACTTGAAGAAATGAAGTTAAAGAGAAACCCTAAATTTATGAAAACTCTAACACACCGGCTTAAGAAGAGAAAAATATCGAATAACTCGAAAAAAAAATCGGCGTACCCGTAGTTAGGGCTTTTATCAAGCCATTACGACGGCCTTGGTAATCTCTGTAAACTTCTTCAACAGTCCTTGGATTGTAAACACCACCACGGCCTCCACCGTCCATTGTCGTCGTTCTCCGAGAAGATTTGATGTGGACCTATCACCTGATGCGATTTTGCGTCAACTGACAAAAAAAACTAGAATGAATTGCAGCTTTTCATAAGCGATTTTGAGCAGCAATTAATACAAAAAACAAAAAGCAAAAGAGATCGCGAGAGAGAGGAATAGAGGATTTGGATTTTGGAGAGGTTTACTTTCAAGGGGGGGAAAATATAACCAAGGCTTCTCCTTTCCCTTGAGGATCGATAACGTGGTATTTATTTATTGGTTCAAATAGGATGACGTGGAAACTGTCTTTCAAATTTTACATTGACAAAATTACAAAAATGGTCCTTTTGGTTTTCAGATTTTGGATTTTTTCTCCAACTATCTTACATTGTTCCTATTAAGGATGAGCATACAACCCGTTGGATTGGACCGGACCGAAAAAAACCGGGACCGGACCGAACCGGTTATGCTTATAGGTGGGCCGGCTTTCGGGTTTTGTTTTTTTCAATCATCGGGTTTCGGGTTTGGGTCGGATCGGACCCGGAATAAGGTTGTTAACCTGGATTGGACCGGAAAACCAAAACTTATTAATAAGTCATTCATATTATTGCCTCTTTTGAGCATACACAAAAAAACTAATTGAAGCCGATACCCAAAATTAAAAAACAACCTTTTTAGGGATGGTACTAGTGTCACCGTATGAAAACACGATGAAGATAGGATTAAAAAAATTATGCTAAAATTATTTGTTGTAGGTGAACTCCCGTTTAAATTTGTGGAAAATGAAACTTTTATGGAGTACACAAATGCTCTAAACGGGAAAGTCAAAATATCTAGTCATAAAATTAGTCGTGATGTTGCTAAGTTTTATGTTGAAAAAAGGAAAAAGTTGTTAACTTTCTTTGCTAATCCACACAACATGATATACTTGACAATCGATAGTTGTACTTCATTGTGTCAAAAAACGAATTATATGGTTGTTACAGGGCACTTCATAAATGACGATTAGGTCATGCATAAAAAAGGATTTTAAATTTTAGATCAATAGATACTCATGTAGGGGAAGACGTGGGACATTTGTTACTTGAATGCATACATGATTGAGGGATAAAAAATGTGATGACTATAAGTGTGGACAATATCACTACAAATGACAAAGCATTTGAATTCTTGACCAACAAACTTCCCAACTTGTATGAAGGTGAAAAACATTTTCATGTTAGATGTGTGGCTCATATTTTGAACTTAATTGTGAAAGATGGGTATCACAATATTCATGTGTCATGTGTTCAAAGAGCAGTGAAATACATTAGACATTCAACCGCTAGAATTAGGAAATTTAAAAAATGTATGAAGGATTCCGATTTAGAATTGGATAAGTTCTTATGTGGAGAGTGCCCAATGAGGTGGAATTCGACATTCGAGTTGTTGAAGAGCGTTTTGAACTTAAAAGATGTTTTTTTAATATGAAGTTAAAGGTAAAAATGTTTTTTTTACGAATAAAAGCTTTTAAGTTTTTTATTAATATTGTTGTTTTTTTTTTTTGTTAAAAATGCAGTTTTTTTGTTAATAATGTTGTTTTTTTTTGTTAAAAATTCATTTTTTTAATAAAGTTTGCAGCTTTTTTATAAATAGTGTTGTTAGAGTGCAATTGTGTTGCTGTTTTTTTATAAAATAAAGTGCAGTTTTTTTTATTAATAGTTTTTTTACTAATAGTGTATTTTTTTATAAAATAAAGTGCAGTTTTTTTTTAATTAAAAAGTGCATTTTTTATGTGTTCTAAATGATAATAACTTTGTATTTTTTTTTTTTTTTGTAGACACCTCATTTGCACGTGATCTAAGTAGAATCCTGCAACGTACCAATTTCAAAGTGATAGAAGAGATTATAACGTTTATTGAAAAGTTCAAAACAAAAACGGAGATATTGTCGACTTCATCAAAACCGTTGGTACAAACAATTTTACGGGAAATTATAGAAACATTTCAACAAAAGTGCATCTTTGTCATATGATCCCGGACATGCGTACCAAATACAACAAGTATTGGGGTTCAATAGAAAATTTGAATGATTTTATGTGTTTTGCCGTATTATTGGACCCCTAAATGAAGTCCATCTTTTTGTCAGCTATCATCAAGAAGATGATCGAAAACACGAGAACGGAAGAAAACATATTGTTGGATAGCACTATAAAATTGAAGATGATGTCTACGGTGCGGGAAATTGAAAAAAAATGGAAATTTTATTTAAAACATATGAAGAAAAATATGCAAATGTAGGTTCGTCTTAAAAAGTAAAAAGAAATCGTAAGTTGTGATGTGGGTAACGGTTTTTTGGACGCTTTCTTGATGGGATAAGGAGACACATCGGTGACAATTGAAAACGAATTAAGAATATATTTAAATGAACCTATGGTGACTTTTGATAAAAATTTCGACATCCTAGATTTGTGGGGAAAAATGCATTGCGTTTTCCGATCGTTGCTTGTATGGCCATAGGTAATTCTACTATTTAATTTCGTTTTCTTTTAATTAAGTTATAAATTATTATATTTATAATTTCATGGTGGTTTGTTGTTAGATATTTTATCCATACAAGTGACGACTGTGGCGTCAGAATCTGCTTTTAGTACTTGCGGTTGAATTCTAGATGAGTATAGAACACGTTTGAATACGCCGATTGTTGAAGCTTTAGTATGTTTTGGTGTTAATTATATAGAGATTGAAGCGGCGATAGAGGAAAAAGAAGATAGAGGGAATGGAAAGAAACCGATTGAAGTTTAATTGTTTTTTTTTCATAAATTGTTTGTTTTGGTATAATGGTAATTTGGTTAGTACATTGTTATTATTAGCTTGGTACAATGATAGTTTGGTTATTATTATTTTGGTACGATAATATTTTGGTAAATTTGGTTTGCTATTTATTAGCTTTATATTCATCTTCAATTATGTATTTTTTTATTCCAAGTGTACAAACAACAAAAATACGAATGATTAATATTATGTAGTAAGATTATAACTTGAAATAGTATGATAGAGACTAAAGAGTAATATTATAAACTAAACCCGAAACCATAAACAAAAAAGATACAAAACTCAGTTTGTTACCCGGAACAAGACCGGATAGAAACCGTAAACAACACTATGAAAGTATAATTCGGTCCAAAATCCGAAACCCGGTTTAGTACCCGGAACTGGACCGGAGCAGACCCGGACCCGATACACCCAAAAACAGTTCGGTTTTCGGGTAGGGTAATTCATGATTTTCGATCTTTGGGTTTTTGATCTTCGGACCGTCCGGTCCGGGTTCGGCCCATTGCTCATCCCTAGTTCCTATAGTTGTAGTTTATTAAATGATTTAATTAGTTGTTATAATTTGTTACAAAAATTGTACTTAACTTTTTACCATTCAATTTTATTGATATTTATTAATTATTTTAGATTTACATTAATATTTTTTATATAAATATATTACTTAACCCAAACCCGAATAAGACTTAGAATTTGTTTAATAGTTGATCGTTGGATTCATGTTGACTGATTTAGAATTTTTGATTGGGTCCACATCAGACTGAAATCATATTGTTTAATGATATTTTTTATTGATTGTGTTAAATGATGAAAAATAACCATATCACCGTTATTGTTATTTGTGTCGGATAAAATTGATTATATTCCACTTAGGAATACAAAAAAATTAGAATAAAAGTCAAGTTTGTTCCAACTTTGACTTTGTGAAATCATCTTTTACCATTGAAATAATACACTATTAAAGCTTCACATATCACCAATTCTTTTGACGTCTTCACTTTGGATGCATTAATGACAAAGCAAATCTTCATTGTGACCACTCTTTCATTGCAAATTCGAATCACACACTTGAAATGAAACACCAACTTCGACCTTCATCCAGATTCCCATTTGAAGCAATATTAACTTTTAAATCAAATGCAACATGAATTCTAGTCACGTGAAATTTCAAAATCTCCAAAGAATTTTGAATCGTATTTTTACATAGGAACCATAAGTAATAATTAAACCCTTATTAGTTAGCTTATTATTAAAATTTGAGAGGAATAATCAAGTACATAGGACCACTTATCACTTCTTCATTTACCATATCCAATACAAAGCATATGCATTGATTTCCTAATCACATAATCAGTTTCAACATGCTAATTTTAACTTTTATTTGACTTTTGGACTTCAAGATCGGAACTTCAAGGCTTCAACTAGTTGATCATAGGAACCCAATATATCTTCGTTATTGACCAGAAACATCAATGACATCCGAATTCACCATCTTCAAAAAATTCTTGATCAAAAATTCAACACCATAATCGAACATATCTTCCAGTTTTCAAATTATCAAATTCAAAATCATCAAAATCGAAGCTTATACCATAATCGGAGTTTTTATGGAGCGTAGATTAGGGCATGATGGGAAATCGATTGCAGAAATCAATTACGTACCTTAAAAATCGATTGAAGAAGTTTTAAATATTATGAGGATCAGATACATAAAGGATTAGAAAATCGGTTGCAGACCATACTAGTGGAGATGGAGGATAAGGGTGACGATGGATGATCTATGATGGAGTATATTGAGTCATCCAGGTTGCGTCACTGGGTAAATAGGGGCAAAACGTGTCTTTTCTGTAACACCCAATTTAAGGTGCTTTCCATTTTGGCCCTTAATGTGTAAATAATTTATAAATTTGGTCCCATGGGGTGTAAAGTGAAACTCTGAGGGGGGGACGTATGTACAATGGTCGTACATCGTCGAGGGACAAACCCTAATATTTAGGGTTTGGATGTTATTTAAGCATTATTATTACCCATGATCACCTCATTTCTCAGTCTCCATTACCCTTTGAGCCTCATTTCGAAACCCTAACCCCTCTAGAGAAGATTTGACCCTCTTTGTGTGTGTTTTAGTGTGTGTTGGTGAGCCTTGAGGAAGAAGAGTCTTGGAGAAGGAGCTTTAACCAAGGGAGAGCTTGTAGATCCAGATTTCATTCATCATTTCCTGCTTTATTAAGGTATAAAGCTTAGAACTTTCTCATTGTATGCTTAGATCTAGTCTTTATGGAGTTTCGGTCACTTTTGGTCACATAAATGAGATCTAATAGGATTCCTCCACTCCATAAGTTAGGATTTGCTTCTCTTGATGTTTTTGAGGTCCCTAGTCCATAAAGGTAGCATCTTTATGGTTAAAGATTAACCATGCATGTGTTTTTG